GAGGGAGCCACATCGGGACCTTAGGACGAGGCCTGCAGGAGTTCCGTGGATCCCAACGATTCTTATGTGTCACAACCCTGAGAATCTCTTCTGGAGTCTTCAGACCTGCAGGACGTCGACGTGGTCACGGGACGCTGGCCGGCCTCTTATCATGGGCCCAGGCCTCTCTCCCCTCTGTACCCCGATTTCATCTCACTGCATCTCGTCTGCATCAGGAGCTGCTTTCCCGGAAGAGCTTTCCCACAGAAGTAAGACGGGGACGGAAGAAGCAGGCGGCCCTGAGTTCCTCTAGGACGCTCTAGCGTTTCCTTTGCTCTTTTTCACCCACTCCGTAAGCAGAGGCAACAATGCCTCCTGTACTTGGAGACTCCACGGGGACTTTCCAAAAACACCGAGACGAAGGAGTTGAAAAGTCTATACATCCGGGGGCAGGCTGGAGGGGGTCAATGGGGGAAATAGGGGGGAAAATGTTTAAAAAGAAAAGGAAACAGTGTGTGCATCAGCCAAAGAGCTCTAAGAGCTGGGCTTTCTAACCTGCGCCTTATGGGCGAGAGCAGACACCCAAGCTCTCCCACAGGGCAGGCCCAGGGCCTGGAGATTGGAAACTACTATTTTCGGGACCAGGAAAAGCTGATTCGTCACTGAATAGAAGCTGGAAACCACAGAGGCACAGATTATCAGAGTTTATCCCACATGATGCAACACTGAGGAAACATCCAGCAGACCCGGCATTTTAGTCCTCTTGGAAGAAGCGTCCGTATTTTGTAGATAATGCTGGGAGGTCCAGCCAACACAGTTCTACTTTTCTGAACTCACTTTGAAAATCCCCATTTGGTGAGCTGGAGGTTTCGGGCGATTCCAGGTCTGATCATATAAAGCGCCGACTTCTCTCTGTGGCCTTGGTTCTGAGTCCCATACTCACCACGCCGTCTGCTTCTGGCTGGGTTTCCTGTCCGTGCGGCCTTCCCACGGAAGGCAATGCATGCCCCTCGGATGACCGTGCTGATGGGAGTGGTAGGACCTGCGTCAGCACAGCCAGGAACACCCAGGCCTGCTCCCTAGCAGGCGCGCAGGTGTGCCGGGCTGCCCCTGGAGGAACTCGCGGTGCTGACCGATCAGGTCTGACCTTGCTGCCTAAGGGCTTCGCTCTACACCTGCAGGGCTTCACCAGGTGCAGGGGTTCATGAGGCTCCTCGGGGGGCAGCCCCTGGCCTGCCCCGGCCGCACTGCTGTGCCCTCGCAAGAAGAGGAATCGTCACCCATCTGCTCTTTTCTGAGAGGATGGCAGAAGGTAGGGCCCCGGAGAGGTAGCTCTCTGAGGGCAGAGGAGAGGGGTGGGGGGGGGGGGGACAATAAAATAAGAGGTGAGGCTGGGAAAGGATGTGACAAAGAAAGTGGAGTCCACAGTCAGGCCATTCAGAAGTGCAGGACCAGCACCAGAAAGAGGGCCAGGAAGGAGTTTTCCAAAATGAGTCCTCGGAACGAAGGGCGGCCACTTGCAGAAGCAAACGGCAGGCGGCCATTCTGCAGGCAGAGCCCGGGGACACTCAGCCCGGAGCTCGAGTGGCTGCAGTGAGCGGTTGGGACTGGGATCCAAGGACTCCCCGAAACGGGGAGAAACTGGTATCGTTCCCGGCACCTCGACAGGAACGGGTGCAACGACCTGGCCTTGGCGCTGATGTTGGGACGTCAGGTGGCAGGACAGCCGTGAGTCACCGCCAGGAAGGAATGAGGGAGCGGCCCGGAGTCTCTGAAACAGTTAGTCCCGCGCCCAGGCCTGAGGCGACCCACTGGAGTCACGTGTCCCCGCCAGCTGCTGCGGGCAGGAGGGGAGGGACATGCTCGGGGCCAGCACGGAGGCCTCCTGCTGGCCACAGCGCAGCCGTGTGCGGTGAGGACAGGCAGCAATGATGGCGACAGGCCAGAGCCCTGGGTGAAGGGACCCGCCCAGGGCACTCTGGGAATCACTGAATAAATGAGAGGTTCACTAGGCCAGTGGTCAGCAAACTGCAGCTCACAAGCCACATGCGGCTCTTTGGCCCCTGGAGTGTGGCTCTTCCACAAAATCCGACTTCTGCGCACGGGCCACGAAGTTTCAATCGCACTGTATGTGCGCGCCCGCACATGGTATTTTGTGGAAGAGCCACACTCAAGGGGCCAAAGAGCCGCATGTGGCTCGAGAGCCGCAGTCTGCCAACCACTGCACTAGGCTATTTCCCTGTCTGAGCGCACACCCCGCACACGCGCTCCGAGGAAGGGTACAGCGGTCCCTGCACGGCGGCCACCTTGTGGCAGCTGTGGCAGCGAATGCATCCAGCAGAGGGCAGTGAACAACATGGGCCAGAGGCATGGACGCCTGGACAGACGGGCAGGTCTCAGAGGGGCAGGGTGAGGAGGCGGGAAGAGATCAACCAAAGAACTGTGTGCATGTAGGCACAGCCCATGGACACAGAAAATAGTGTGGTGAGGAATTGTCGCGGGGGAGACAGGGGTGCAGGATAGAAAGAGTTACATTGGGGAACACCTATAATAGGATCAATAATAAAAAAGACAAGTGGAAATTGGTTTCCTGGTCGCATGCAGTGCTGAGGGCCGAGCAGGCGGCATCGTGTTGGGGCTATTCCTGCCAACCGACACGCAGGCCCCCGCCAACAAGACATCTCAGAATAACTCCTACAACAAAACCCACGCCCAGCGGGAGGGAGGGGTGCTAACAAATCATCAGAATCAAGGAACTCAGTTTCAGTTCTCTCAAATGTCAGCGTGAGGTCCATCCATTCTTTAATGCAGGGTCAGTCCTTGTACCAGGAAGAGCCCCAACCTCATCCTCCTTCACCAAAAACACATAAAATGCACCAGAGCAATAGGTTGAAGTACATATCAATTCTGCAAGGCCACCTTGCAAAATTACTTACACACTGAGGGACATGGCCAGGGATGATGGGCTTCGCCCGGAAATGGGCGGGTTGGTGGATGGCTTGCACCTTTATCTGAGGCTCAGGAACTTGCCCCTCAGCGGACAGAACGGGCAGCAGGACTGCCCTGCTCTTCGGGGAAACCCAGGGCCGAAGGGGCCCGGCCTCCCCACGCCCTGCCCTCCGCAGCCTGCCTGGCTGGGCCGCTGGGCTCTAGGCTTCCAAGGGCCTGGATGCAGGAGCTGGCCAGCACTGCGTCTGCTGAATGTCACCCAGTTTATCAGTAACACCCCGTGGGTGGACATACAGCACTAGCACTGAAGTTTAAATAGCGTTTATATCCCAATGAGTTTCTCACCCAAACTGGCGGTTCTGAGCCGTGGAGTAGAGGCTGCGAGTAGCCACATCCCTCCCCCACCCCCACCAACTCCCCTATTGCTTGTTTTTTCAAAGGCATCATGAATCGGCGACACAATCAAAACCAAAATTCACTTTAATATTGGAAATATGACCAACTTTTAATGCACTGGAATGTTGAGCAGAATCCCTGGTTTCCCCACAGAAAGAGGTACCCTGTGCCAGGAGCTGCAGTCTGCAGGCAGAAAGAGGTACCCCATTCTGTCACTCTGGGAACGAACTCAAGATTTTTACCAAACATCAGGAGAGCATGACCGGCTCGGTCTCTACAACGGACAATGTTTAGCACGAGCTGAGGCTCGCGATGCTGCCCTGTTCCCTGCAGGCGGCGGTGGACGATTCTCGTGGTTCTGCACACGTGGCAGTTTTCTGCTCCGAGGCCGGGAGCTCGAATCCCAGGCTGGGAGTGAGGTCCGTGGTCACAGGGATCAGATATTCTGCTGCGGCTGACAGCACAGGGCACCCCCAGCCGGAACTCAGGGAAACCGTCGGGAGGGATTCTGTGTCCTGTTTGGTCCTGTTTTCTCTCCGCAGACATGTGTGAGCTGGTCCCCGGCCACGGCTGTCAGAGGAAGGAGGCCCTCACCTGGCGGCCCTTCAGGGGCTGTGGGGGCCGGTGGTTGCTCAGCAGGAAGGCGGCCGCGTGGCCCTCGGGGGTGCACAGGAGCCTGCGGAAGGCGGCCAGCTGTGGGGGAAGGAGGCAGCGTCAGCGAGGTGACCAGTGTGAGCGCGGCCCGGCACAGAGCTGAGAAACAGGTACCCTGCGCCAGGAGCTGCATCTTCAGGCAGGTCTCCTCGGCCTGGCTCCTGCAGGGCTGCCCCTGGCTGACAGCTCAGCATCTGGAGGTGCCTCTGGCTTCCGAGTGCAGGCCACGAGCCCTCCTACCTGACGGGATGGGGGGCAGGGGCTGAGGGGGGCACGGGCCTTCCTAGCGGGGACCCAGCTCTGCCCCACCCGGGACCTCAGCTTCAGTGTCCTCAGCACCAAGTGAAGCCTTGGATGGGTCACCTCAGGAGCCACGGACCACGGGGGGCTCCCCAGCGTTGCAGGCCCGGTGCTCACGGCAGCCACCCTCATCCTGTAAGGACTGTCTTCCTGTAACTACAAAGAGCTGCTTGTTTTCACCATTCTTGTACCTTGTAAACAACTATCTATGGAGAAAGCCTAAGGCCTTCCACCTCTGGTCATGTTTACAACTTAAGTGGCAATCACATTTCTCACCAAAAGGGCTTAATTTTGCTCATTACAAGAAAGCTTACGTATCTTACAAACTTCACGCAGTAGAAAGTATCAAGAAGAAAACAGAGATTGCTAGTCACTACGTCACAAGACACTTGACACTATAACACCTCTGTTTTTTCTAAGAATAGTTTTTTATGTATATTTAGAGAGAGGGGAAGGGAGAGGGAGAGAGAGAAACATCGATTTGATAGTGAAGCATTGACCAGCTGCCTCCCGCACGCCCCCTACCGGGGATATAGCCCGCAGCCCAGGCATGTGCCCTGACCGGGAATCGAACCTGAGACTCCTTGGTGCTCAACCAACAGAGCCACCTGCCAGGATGAACATGCTTCTATGTGTAAGCACACACACACCTCAGATGTTTTATTACAAAGATGAGTGTAATTAAATGCTCTTCTGAAACCTATTTATTTCCATATACAGGGTGGGGCAAAAGTAGGTTTATAGATGTGATCTGAGAAACTGAGTTTATTCTTGTATTGTTATCTATTAGTGAGTGTGCATCTTCAGGTGAGCAACGGTGCCCCTCCTCTGGCCCACCCTGCAAACATCCTAGACATCTTCGCATGTCGATCAATATAAATCGCTGTCACCATTGTTAATTGCGGAGAAGTTTTCTATTATAAGCATGTTTTACGAATTATTTAACACTTCCTGGTGGTTAGTATTACTTGTTGAGATTTAGCATAGGTCCACAGCAGTAAATGTTGTTCTGAGCAAAAGAAATCAAACACAGAAGTGTGTGTCTGTGTAATTCCACTTGAATAAAATTCTAGTGACTCTCAGTGGTGTCCTGAGGCCGTGGGTGAGTGGAGGGCAAAGGGCATGAGGAACCCTCTGGCAGGGATCCCTGTCCCTGGACTGTGCATGGCTTGCTGCATCGCAGGGTAACACACAACAACCAAGGCCATCAGCTGCGCATAGGATTTCAGCAGCTGAGGAAGCGAGTGGAGAAAACCCAGAATAACCCAGAGACTTGGCAGGAAAAGTCCGCCTGCCCAAGACAATGAGGGCTCTGTTATCCAGATATCAGAATCACAGTCTGTTCCCCGCCTGGAGGTAAACCAGGCATTTCAGTCAGTGACTCGGGGGAGAAACATGGACTTGAATCAAGAAAAAGAAAATGAACACCCTCTGCTCTGCGCTTTAGGTCAGACAGTGACTTGGCAAGAAAGAGCAGCGGGGAAACTGGCCCAACCGACTGACAGAGGTTCTGGTGGGACTGAAAAATAAATAAGGACGCTCCCCAGCGACTTCAACATAGAGCTGTCATCACTGAGACAGCATTTTCTGGAAAGTAATTCTTAAGCCGGTGGCATACACAAAAGACTTTACATGAAAGAGCTAGGCAACTGAGTGATCTTATCAACCCTCTTGTGTTTTGGGTTTTTTAATAAACTTTTTATTTCAGAATGGTTCAGATTTACAGAACGATTACAACGGGTTCTCGTGTACCCACTTCAGTTTCCTCTGTAGTTACCACCTTCCAAGGTGTTCCTTCTCACAACTAACGAACCAAGTTTATGCCGCCCTTAAGTGCGGTTACGCAGGCTCCTTTGTTCGCACCTGCTGTCTCTCTGCCCCAGGATCCCATCAGGACACGGCATTTTACTGAGTCGCCCGTCTCCCGAGCATTTCCTGGTGGTGAGTTCTCAGACACCCTTGTTCTTGGTGACACGGACAGTCTGAGGAGTACGATCGGTGTTTCGCAGGATGTCCCTTACTTGGGCTTTGTCTGATGTTTTTCTCATGGTTACGACTGGGACTGGGCTTTTAAAATATCTTTTGCTTCATTCTTAAGTCTTAAAAGCGCTATAACACTATTTTATACTTTGGATTATTACTCAGATAATCACTTCAATCTGGTTGCAAATGAGATGTCTGAAAGGGTTTCCGCTCCTGTAGATTCAGGTGAAAGCTTCACCGGTCATACTAACCCTGAAACTCAGCTACTGTTTTATACTCTTCTGTACAAAAAGCCAAATTAATAATCAACACTAATTAATTGAGCCTGAAATAAGATACAGTAATGAGCCCACAGCTAGTCAGTCATAGCCCAACACTTGCAGAAATTTTCTTTGATTGGGTTAACTTTGTGCACTTTAAGGATCTAATATATATTTTGAAATAATCTCTTACCAATCACAGGTAGATTTTTTAAAAGTTACTTTCCAAGTGGCTCTAAGGAGTAAAAATACCCTTGAACTATGAGGAAAAACATGTCTTGATGCTATAATGTGTCACTTTTCAAATGTAATCAGGAATTGTGAAAGGAAGCACATGGGCACAGGAAGGGGAGAAAGTGAGATCCATTAGTGAGGCCCCAACCCAGGGGCAGGTCCCTATTCTCATGACACAATTCACCTTGTTTCTAATGGAAAAATTCACAGCAAATTTCATGTCAGTTAAGCTCTAGATTTCTATGCAGATCTTTATAAAAGTACTAGAGGCCTGGTGCACAAAAATTCATGCACTGGGGGGAGACCCTCAGCCTGGCCTGCCCCCTTTCACATTCTGGGAGCTTGCATCCCGTCCTACTGACAGCTTAGGTCCGATCCCCGCAGGTAGTGGGCTGAAGCCGCAGACTGGCCTCCCTCTGCAGGAGGCAACCAGCCAATCAGGGGAAGGCAACACCCTCATCACACCTCTGCTGCTGCCACTGCCGGCCTCGAGGCTGCCTGAGCCTTGGCCCTCACAGTGGCAGCCACCATCCTCAGCTTGCCTGAGCCTCAGGCCGACTCTGGCAGTGGCAGCCGCCATTGGCGGCTTGCCTGAGCCTCGGGCCAGCCCTGGGAAGCAGCAGCCACCATCTGCTCTCCCAATGCACCTCCTGGTCAAGTCTCCGCCCACCCACATGCACCTCGATGCTTATGCAGCCCCACCCACCTACACGTGCTTGCTGTGCACGCAGCCTCCTGCTGATGGGTTGTTACGCGGCATGAGGGCACACGACCACATAGGCTTCTATTAGTATAGATTAATGAGTATGCCCCAGGCATTACGTGTTTTATCCTAAAGACAAGGCCACTAGAAGTGGCACATGAGCCTCACAGCAAGGGGAAATGCCCCCAACACGGCCTTGGCAGAGGTCAACCAACTCTAGTCTTCGACCTTGACCTTGGTGGAGGTCAACCAGCTCTAGTCTTTGACTGGGGAATAAACAGCTAGGCCGGTGGGCCAGCCCACATCAGAAGTGCTTTATTAGCTGCAAAAATTATTAGACTGCATTCTTGCTAAGGTTCTGCAGCACATCATTCAAAAAGGAAGGACAAAACAAAACCCACTAAGCACAGCCTTGGGGACACACAGCATCCACCTGGCAGATGGTCGGCCGAAGGTCTAAGCCCAGCAGGGTTCTGGGCAAAGACTCCTGAGCCTGCAGACTTATTTCACAAGAAGAGCCTCTTAGTAAATGCTACAGCCCTCAGACGCCCCACAGAAGCTCTGCCAACAAAAGCCACAGGTCGCAGATTTCTTCTTAAACTCAGCGGCTCAAGTCCGCTTTCTGAAGGTGGATCCTGAAGGTGGAGCCTGTGGAAGGGGCAGGTCTAGGGACCGAGCAGGAAAGGTGAAGGCCACCTTTTAAGAGCTTTCCTTTTGAATCCCAGGCCCTTTCTATTTCAGTCCAAACTAGGAGACAGAAGCAAGCAGTGCTCCCTTCAAAGGGCGCCTCCTTTCCCCCGCGTTTCTAAGAGGTGGGGAAGAAACCACCGAACCAGAAGGTCAAATGGGAAGGGCCAGAAATCCCATCTGAGGGAGAACACGGGCTTCCTGGCACAGCAGGAGGCACAGAGGGGGTGGAAAACCATTCTGCCCAGTCTACTCTGGGAGTGGACCAGCCCGGAGAAGGCCTACCTGCTGAGAGCTGACGCTGATCGGCTGCTTTAGAATGATCCACGTGACACTCTCCAGAAGGGGCGGCACGGTGAGAGACCCTGGGTACGTCCAGTAATCCCAGGACGGAGGAAGCAGCAACAATGGGTCAAAATTCGTGAATCGAGTTTGTTTACCCTGGGGCGGGGAGAGAAAGCCACAGATGACAAGGGGGGGCTTTCACAGACCTGGAGAAACATGCAGGCAGTGACATCAGATTTCACTGGAACTGCCCAGCCACGCAGTTATTTAGTGCCTGCTGTTTGTACTTTAAGAAGAGTACCTGCCTTCATCTAAACATGTTAGAGGAAGTCGGGCATCACTAAGATTCATTTGAAAGGACAAGATTTGTTTTCATATGAGTGGTCTTTAAAATGTGTTGCAGCCAAAGGCTTATTCTGTAAAACTCCAACAGGACCTGATTACGCATAAATAGACTTATGTGATTATTTTAGGTGATTGAAGACTTCTTCACAAACTTTGGGAGTGAGTGGTGACAGGTTGTGTCGGCTCTATCGGTCAAGGACACGCTGGCTGCTTCAAGGAGCAGCAGTCGGCCCTGACTCAGACGTGTGTGTAAGAGAAGATGAGAGAACTCAGCAGAAAACAGGACTATATTAGTCACCAGCCACCAGGAATTAGCTTTACCTTTTCTTTAATGGAATCCAGGATGTCAGTAACCTTTTGCAGGTGGGGATTACATTCGCCGATCTGAAACATGAAATTTAGCGAGAAGTGGTTACTGTTGCAGACAGATCTGAATTGCTCCTTTCAGTCAGGATTTTAAATTCTTTAAAAACAAAATGTAGGCCAGCCCACAGCCAACAGTGGCTGTACTGCAGCGCAGCTCTCCTGCCTGAAGAACCTGGATGAGGAGAGAGCACTGCAGGCTCCTTGGCTGAATTAGAAGTTTGGCCCCCAAATGTAGTGACAGCTTCCCGTTTCTCAGCTTTAGGGATGTTGCAGACGCAGGTGAACTTGAGGAAAGCCTGGCTTAGGACACCTCCAATACACCCGCGCTCCGAAACCAGGTGTGGCTTCCAGACCCTCTACCCACACAGGCTATTATGACATCAAAACATTAGAGGAAAAGCGTCCCCCAGATTCGGCCTAAAACAGCGGGAGGTCCCGGATCAAGGCAATAGATCGTCCTGAGCCGAGTTCCTCGGAAAAACACGCGCGCCTCTTTCCCCACCCAGTGGGTGTCGTAACAAAGAGGAACGCCCTGCAGGAATGTGGTCCCAGTGGGAGTGGGGCGGCCCCACCCACCCAGGTGTGACCACAGCGATACCTGTCTGGCCACTTGTGCAGGAGACACAGAAAACAATGGAAATGGTCAGTGCATTCGGGAAAACCAACCATGTGGCGCAACTAGTGCTTCCGGAAGCAGGACGGTGACTCCGCTCTGCCCCGCCCCTCTGAGCACTGTGCCGTCAGTCAGGAGGAAGGCCGGCCAAGGCCCCTCTCCGGTCTCCTTGTCACTGCAGCGCTACTGTTGCTGTTGCTAATGGACAAACATGATCAACAAACACAGGAGGGATTGTAAGGCAAAGCTCCCAGCCCTGAGAGGAACCATAAACGTGGAATTGTGATATCCATTTCAAAAGGGAAACATTGGACCTACAACTGATTTGCTGTTAAAAGATGGCAGAGCCCGGCCTGCGTGGCTCAGTCCACGCGCCACAAGGTCACAGGTTTAATTCCCAGGCAGGGTTGTGGGCTCGATCCCCCATGGGGGGCGTGCAGGAGGCAGCCACTTGATGCTTCTCTTTCACTGATGCCTCTCTCTCTCTCTCCTCCCCCCCCCCCCCCCCCCCGCTCTAAAGATCAATAGGCTATTTTTAAAATGGCAGGATGTCCACTCGGCAACTGAAATCCTGCCCCACACGGCCGAGTCATTGTTCTAATGAAGCCAGAGGCCCTCACCTGTAAAAACACTCCCAGGACAGCGAGTCCGTCGGGCTCGTGAGCTGCCTCCACGAAGCTGGGGTACTTGTCCGAGTTCCAGTGGACGACGTGGAGCTGAAAAGGAGGGACACGGTGTAAGTCAACGTCATGTTTAGATCCGTCCTCAGACACATGAACGCCAGGGAAGCCTGGTGCAGAGGCCGGGCTGCACCTCCATGCACGGTTCGCCACACCCACCGTGCTCTTGGAGGCCCCAGAAAGTCCTGCCACACCCCTCGAGCCCCAACAGTCTCCAGCCACTGTTCCCAGTGACTTAGGGTCCCTGTGCTCCCTCACCCGGGACTGCAGTCCGCAGCCTGAGGTCAGGCCCCGCTGGTGGCAGGTCCAGGCTGGGGGGCGGGGGCGTCAGTGGGCCCCCAGGGGTGACCCTGCCGCGGACAGGTCGGTGGTTCCTGGACGCGGTCAGAGGCTCACGCCCCCAGCTGAGACCTTTCTATGGCGTGAACATGGATTCTCCATAAGAGTCGCTGTGTTAAGCAGTGTCCACACACCTACCAGCTTCTAGGCCCAAGTTCAGACCCCGTGTGGGGAGCAGGAGTGAACTGGACAGAGAGGCTGGGCTGGAAGCAGAGGTCGGAGGAAGACCGGTGTGCTGAGGGGAGGGCAGGGGGGACGGGGCCAGGACCAGAAGGGGCTTCACCCACGTCCCAACTTCTCCCGAAAGCAACAGCCTTCCCCAAACCCGAGGGAGCCGGTGTCCAGTGCCACGGCCGTGTCCCGAACACAGACCGGTGCACGGACACAGCACGCACAGTCCCGCACAGGCCGATCCTGGGGGCTCCTTCCCGGCTGAGGGCTGTGCTGTGATGGGAGCCACGGGGAGCCCAGGCCACGTGACACACCCAGACGGCGTGGCCCAGATCCTGAACCGTGAGAGGGGCCGGCTTCAACTCGACCTCCCCAAGGGACTCCTGTGGCCCCTCAGGAGGAAACGTGAGGGTTTCACACACAATCCACCTTCCAGGTGACAGCAGAGGGGGAGTTAGTCTGCTCAGGTTTATCCCTCCTTTCAATGTAACGGTGCGTCCTCCAGGTAACTAATGCGGGGATTTCTGGATAAAGAAGGATGACCATGCCTGGCTGGTGTGGCTCAGTGGTTGAGCCTTGACCCATGAACCAGGAGGTCACAATTCAATTCCCGGTCAGGGCACTTGCCCGGGTTGTGGGTTTGATCCCCAGTGTGGGGCGTCCAGGAGGCAGCCGATCAATGATTCTCTCTCATCATTAACGTTTCTATCTCTCGCCCTCTCCCTTCCTCTCTGAAATCAATAAAAACATATTTTTTTAAAAAAAAGAGTGACCATAAATAGTGAACTACGAAACAGTGCACCCCGCCCCCAACAGCGGAGAGAGACTGGCTCTCCCACGGTGGCCGGTGCCGTGTGGCGTGAGAAAGTGGGGAAGGAACCTGGGCGGGCGGCGCTCGCTGGGCCAGGCAGGAAAGCAGGTGGATGTTGTCTCAAACGCCAGCGCCCATGCACCAGCCACCTGGGAAGAGATGACGCCACAGACACGGAAACCCTGGGGAGTCACTCCTTTGGTTCACGCCCCACCAGTCGCTTAGAAAACAAACGTGGAACCAAAGAGAGAAGCCCTGTGTCCTCCATTGGATAAAAGAGTGACCACGTCCCCTGTGAGACCTGGGGAGTCACTCCTTGGTTCACGCCCACAGTCGCTTAGAAAACAAACGTGGAACCAAAGAGAAGCCCTGTGTCCTTTCCAGTGGATGAAGAGCGACCAGGACACTGGGAGCAGAGCAAGGGAGGCCGGGTTTGTTTTTACAAGTCCTCCCGCTCCCGCCTCTGCTGAGCGGTACTTCCCCCAGCTGAGGGCACGGCCCAGGCACCTGAGTGGGACCCGGAGCTGAGGGCACGGCCCAGGCACCTGTGTGGGACCCGGAGCTGAGGGCACGGCCCAGGCACCTGAGTGGGACCCGGAGCTGAGGGCACGGCCCAGGCACCTGTGTGGGACCCGGAGCTGAGGGCACGGCCCAGGCACCTGTGTGGGACCCGCAGCTGAGGGCACGGCCCAGGCACCTGAGTGGGACCCGGAGCTGAGGGCACGGCCCAGGCACCTGAGTGGGACCCGGGGGCAGCGCCTTCTATTCACAGTGACAGCCCAGTGACGGAGCGAATGACAGGAAGTGGCAGCAGCGGCTGAAAATGGAAAGGAGCAGATTCCCCTGAGAAAACAATGTCTGACCAATAGTATTCGTCAGCCTCAGCGTTTGACCGCCTCCTGTTGACACACAGTATGCCTTGGTGCAAAAGTCACCGTCAGTGCTGAAATCACAGCTTCACGCGCACCTCCGTGCCTGATGCTTCTGTGTTAGGCACACGCTGTGCTCAGGTGAGTTCCAGCGCAGCTCCGTCTGAGTTCTCCTTGCGGCCCGGGACCCTCGGGAAAAGCTTCAAGATGCAGTCGTCAGATTTGGCTCCAAATTACATTCCCATGTTACCGCTCTCAGCGGCCTTTTCCCTTTGTCTTTCTTTCCTTCGCTTTTCCATTTGTGAAGAGGGCATAACCTGATGATGCCCTGAGGTCAGGTACAAAGTACTGGAAAAGCCACTTCCAGGCCCGCCACCGCCTCCAGCCTCACCCGCTCCCCCGACAGCGGAGGTTTCATAAGATACAGAGCACCTGGCCCGCCCCGCCGCACCGCCTCTGTCCTCGTCCCCACACTACGGAGGACGCTGACCTGCTCAGGCCCTCACCCCGGCACGGCCTCTCATTAAGGCCAACGCCTTTGTTCCCAGCACGCGACACCCTCCCGCCGAGCGCTGTCCCTGCTGTCCGCTTCTGGAAAGCGCTCTCTGGATTTTCTCCGAGTGGCTTCTGGTCATTCGGTCTCAATTCAGGTGGCATCTCCCAGGGGCCCCTCCTGACCACTCAGCCTCGCCATGACCACGTGGCATGGCTCCGTCAGAGAACTCACCCGCCCGTCTGCGTGGTGACGGGCCACCTGTGCCAGCGTGCCCACCTGCACGGCCAGATCCCTCTCCGCAGCATTGCTGAGCAGCGGCAGACACCCGGCTCCCCCCACCACCCTGCCTGCTGGGCAGCCAGCCACCTGCACTGTCACCCGCCACCAGGATCCCCCAGAGCCTCCTCACCGACCCTTATCCCCTCTGCTTCACCCCAATCTCTCCTCTAGTTGTAGCGTGAATGATATTTTTTAAATGCAAATATTATCACTTTCTAATTCAAAGCCAGTCAGTGACGTCCCGGCTCTTAGAATACAGCTCAGCCTGACCAGCCTCACCACGTGCCACTGTCCACGTCTAATCCCACGGGCACTCTCTCCTGCGGTATGGGGCTCTCTCCCGCCCGAGGCACACGCGCCCTCTGGGCAGGCCCCCCCCCCCGTCCTGTCCTGCTGCCTGGCTCACCCTCTTCTCCTCAGGGATGTGTCCCCTGGACACCCCCTATTCTCCTGGATGCCCCCCTTCCCCACACGGTGAGCCAGGGAAGGTGGAGGATGAGGTGCCCCCGACGCGTTCCTAGTGAATGAGGGAATGCAGCCAGGGACAAACGAGCCTACGAAACGAGAAAGACCCCGATCCACAGTGAGCCCGGAGGCCCCACCGCGTCAAGGACTGTCCGCAGTCCCGGCGGCCAGAGCTCCGAGCCCCACGGAGGACAGCGCCAGCCCCAGTCACCTCCAGGGCCACGCTCAGGCGTGTGGAGGGTGGACCACTGTCCCAAGCTGCTTTGGGACATGACAGAGCCAGCCCATCCCCAGAGCTTCTGAGATTCAGACACAGAACTTCACAACACAAGCATGGGCGGTAGAGGCTGAGCACCAGCGGGCTCCTGGGCCTCACTCCACCCCCCCCCCCCCCCCCGAAAAAAAAACCCCAAAAACTGGGGGTTTCCTCTGTCCTTGTCTCGGATTCGGCGCCCCACCCCCGCAGCCTGGGAGCCCCTGCTCTCACACAAAGTGCTCAGGAGGTGACCATGCCTTTGGGTAATAGCCCCGACCAGCAGATGTACAAGTGATGGAAGAATAAAACCGGCAGCAAGGCCTTGTGCCCTTTGCTGGGCTTCTCCGCACAGCAGGCTACCCAGGAGGGCCGGGCCGGCTCGGTAAGCCTGAGGGCGGACGAGCACAGCTGTCTGCACGGTCCTCGGTCTCCTGGCCGGCGCCAGGGCACACGGAAGTAGCTTTGGCTGAGTCACAGGACAATTCCCTCCCATCTCTGGTAAAGCCGGGGTCAGCGGTATTTAACTGTATTATGCTTTGTGCTTTAGCCAGAGGATTAGAAAAGTATTCTTTTAAAAAATATACTTTTATTGATTTCAGAGAGGAAAGGGCAGGGAGAGAGGGAAGCATCAATGATGAGAGAGAATCATCCATCAGTTGCCTCCTACACCCCCCACTGGGGACCAAGCTCACAACCTGTGCCCCGACCGGAATTGAACCCTGACCTCCTGGTTCATAGGTTGACGCCCAACCACTGAGCCCCGCCGGCCGGGAGGTAGCGTATTCCCAAAGGCTAGCACCCTATGGAGGAGTGACGCCGGTGAAGAAGCCAGGACGTCATGGTTCTGCACACGGCGCTGCCCGGTGCGCAGCTGCAGGTGAGAGGGGACGGAGGGCTGAGGAGAGCGGTGTCTTTGTCCCCCACAGGGCCCTTTGCTGTTGATTCTCACCTCTGTTCTAGGGATTAACATGAGTGAATGTGTCGGGACCAAACATGCACAGAGCTGGGCCTAGAACAAACGTTTCTCTCCTTTCTCCTCGCTGGCCTCTCAGGAGCGAGCCTGTGACTTGGTGTCACTTGCGCTGAGGCTTCCCCGAGTCCAGTCCGGGAGCTCACGTTCACACGGGCTCAGCGACCCTACCTCTCGGGGTCGTGCTGAGGATCCCCATTCACAGCTACGCTGATAAGCTCCTGCGCTGACGGAAGGAGGCAAGGTCCCAGACTGAGATCCGAATCGGCTCGGGACCTATTTGGGGTCAAGGACACCTTCCTGGTCCCTTACCTCCCACCAGAGAGGACAGCTCTGTCAGGAGCCTGGCGATGGCTTACCTCGGCGGCGTACCTCACTCCGTCCACCACGTGCTCAGAGCCGTGGTCGTCCGTGGACCCCCAGTGCAGGTGAAACTGTCGCAACCTGTATCTTCCAGTGAGCGGCCCCCCTCGCAGAACTAAACGGCAACACAGGTGACACTGTTAGCAAGAAGGGTGTTACCGAGCGCCCCCCACAGCGTCTCCCCGCACCCACATCGCGAGGAAGGTTCTACCCAGGCGCCTGGCGTTCGCAGGCCGGGATCCAGCTTCCAGGTGGGCGAGGAGTGAACACAAACCTTTGAAGGGTGAGTGCGTCCACAGGACAGCTGTGCGCGGAGCAGGGGAAGCCCAGCAGGCACTCTGGTTCAGCGCAGGGAGCCCGCAGGGCTGCCCGTCCCCGGAGGCCGCGGGCCCAGGAGCGCAGCAGGCGGCGCAGGAGAGCCTTCAGCACTTGAAGACCTGGGCTCGCCTTGGCTTCACCACCGTGACCTTGCACAAACTCTCTGGCCTTGAGCTCCAGCTGTCAGGCCACGACCCCGGCGAGCAACGCCGCCTCCCCCCAATGTCGTGGGGAAGGAGAAAAACTGAGCACACAGCCCTCGCCCCTGCCCCGCAGACAGCCGGCTGGACCCGCGAGCTATGATGACTGCGATACCGCTGCTGCTCCCACAAATGCGGGCAGAGGGAGCTCATCTTCTCAGGGAAGTAGGAAACACAGGACACAATTAACTCTTTTTAAAAATCCATCAGATGTTGCCACTTGGGCAGAGTGTATTTCTAGCACTTTTCCTCCACAGATATGCTCTCTAAGACCATGGCAATAGAGCTCAGCCAGTAGGGCTCAGTGGCTGAGTGTCGACCTATGAACCAAGAAGTCTTGGTTCAATTCCTAGTCAGGGCCCATGTGTGCACTAGATCCCCAGTGTGGGGCATGCAGAAGGCAGCTGATTGATGATTCTCTCTCATCATTGATGTTTCTATCTCTCTCTCTCCCTCTCCTTTCCTCTCTTGGATCAATAAAAATATATTTTAAAAAATAGAATTATAGCAATGGAGTCATATCTTAAGAAGACAGAAAAGCGTCTTACTAGAAACCATAGTGTGTCCCTGCGATTAATCTCTGCTGGGCAGACCCCGAGGGCCCGGAGGCCCTGGAGGCTGAGCTCAGCACACCCACCTGACAGGGCTCATCTCCATCACCCAACAGCAGGAAGTGCCGACGGGCCAGTGCAGCCTCAACAATAGCTTGACTCCAATGGCCCTGCTCTTAGTTATGTTACATACACATAATTATATGCGGTTACAAAATTTGTCGAGAATAACCCACCTTATATAAGAAGAAAAGATGTTAAGAATTTCATATGCAGTTTTCTGTAAACAGCAAGAAACAAAAGGACAAGGTAATGCTTGCCCGTGCCCTCTGGGCTGCACTGCAGGAGGCCAGACCGCTGTGTGGGGACCAGCACCGGGGGGTGCCCTTCTCCCCAACCTGGTGCTGGACGGTGGCTCAGAGCTGGGCAGGGGTCCAATCAGCAGCCGGGCCAGTCCCCGCTCAGTGAGGACACCTCCTCCCACACGCACCCACGCCTCTGTGGGTGTCCGCTCTCTTGTCCGCACTTGTGTTTGTTTCCCTGTTCCTAACTAGGGGATTGGACTGATGTCCCTTCACATCTACCTGCCCAAGGAGAAACTGGGAGCACATGCAATCGAGTCTTGGGAAGGCTGGATGGTCGGGCACCCTCTAGGCTCCGTCAGGTCCAGACTGCTCTATGTAGGTAGCTGCCTATCTTCAGAGCCCTCTGGGAAAGAAGGGGGAGGGGAGCACCCCACGGCAGGCTGCAAGGCCACTCTCGGTCACTGTCCGCGACAGCGCGGTGCCACTGCTTCCGCTTGCCCTGGACACCTCCGGCAGACCCTGCTGGCGTCCCTGCGGCACCGCCCCTCCCGCGACTGTCCCCGAGGAGAGCCTTGATGGAGAGGATCTTAGGTTTGGCTTTAAACAGCCTCCAAGATGTTTCACAGATAAATGAGCTGAAAAGGCACATGCCCTCCCTGGGTCTCGGCCTGCTTCCGGATGCCACGGCCTCCGAGGGCAACCAGCGCTGGCGTCCTGTCTTTCCTGTTCTGTTGCACACACCGAGCCGAGCCAGGGCACCCTTCACAGCGCCACGCAGAGGGAGGGCTCAGGACTCACCTCTAATTCTAGAACTGAACGCACTTTGGGAGGAGACGCAAACCAGCTGGCCCAGGAGAAAGACGGAGACCCCAAAAAGGTCCAGGAGTCCTGGCTGGTCTCTGGGAGCCGCTCCCAACCCAGGCTTCACCCAGGTTAGCACAGCCCCGCCTGGTGGAGCAGCGACGCTGGCCTCACTCTACCTCGCTGGGTCCACACTGGAGTGTCTGTACTGCAATGTCCAACCTGCAACCCGGACCATGGGTGGCTAGTGTGATGACCACCTAGGGCTCTGCACAGGGTGGGGAAAGTGAGTCAAAAGGTCACAGTGAGCCTCGCGCTGCCTTCGAGATGGTCTCTATAGAACAGTGAAACTGTGGGATACGATGAAGAATGGTGGCAAAGTTATTTTTAATGAGAATGATTTAGTGTTTTCAAGTGTCGAATTATTCATCTCACTTTCCAGCCTAGGTGAGTAAATAAATATTATTGTCTCTATCTTAACTCTGAAAATAAGTGATCATTTCTCCAAAATCATACTTGGCATACATATAGAGCCCATTTATCACTTCACCCAGAATTTAAAAAAATCTCTTCAAATGATGCGCTCATACAAGAGGTCTACAGAGGGTAAGACGCCAGAGGTACGTGCCCTAGAAGGGTGGGGAACGTGTGCCACCTCAGCAAGAGGGCGTCTGTTAGCTGCTCTCTGCCGCGGAGTTCAACCACGTTGTGAAACTAGAAACACAGGTGTTGCTGCACTGCATCTGCCTTGAGCCTTGTCAGTAACGTGCCCGTCCTGCTCTGTTTCCCCAACTGCACTGGTGTCGGCTGCCTGGACAGTAAGCACGGCTGGGAGCACAACCAGAAAAAGGCTCTTCAGACAGCTACTGTCTGCCCAGCAGGAAGCAAGCTCCTCTAAGAGGACCCGCCTCGCTCCTGTGTGTCCTCAGGACCAGGCGGTGCCTGAGCAATGACTGCACAGAAGCAAGTGCAAGGCGGCTGCGGCGTGACCTGGCGTCACCACAGCGCGATTCCAGGGCCAGCGAGTGGCACGGGAAGTCCTATCTGGTCACTTCTTATTCTGGAACGAGGACTGTAGCCTTGGTTTCCTTTAATATTTGAGGTATTATAAACAGTTTCCAACCACGATCGTGGGTGGTGTCAGCTTTGTGTTTGGAAGCCTCAGATTTCTACGTGACCACATCCGTGCCCATTACGTCACCCTCCCCTTTACCTCAGCCTCCCGCCCTCACAGAGCTGAGGTGTGAAGAAAACACATATATGAACAGCAAGGTCCCTCCTTCCCCACAAGTTGAAAACACCACGTGTTAATCTCTCTTTGTGCACTTTTTACAATGCTCTGAATAAATAATATGAATCACTTTTACGAATTTGACAAGTATGAGGAAGTAATGTTATGGGCTTATAATCTTAGCTAACAATATAGCTTTACATAAGCACAGGGAACTGACTAAACCAAAGCTGCGCTTAATGAGCAAGTGAACGCTTTCTTCCAATGAAGGGTTTTTAACATTCAACTATACTTATCATCAATAGAGCAAATACAGCATCATCCTAATATTAGACTAAAAGTAAAAGTAATTGGTCAGCAGCCTTAAAATATGAGTCTCCTAATCTTCTCTGTCATCTAACTTCTAAACTTGATACTAATCTGCTTCTTGGGCCGCTGCTGGCTTGAAGGTGAAGGAAATGCTCTTTTCTATTCATTTAGCTAGTCAGTGTGTCACATAGAAATGATACGAGTTTCATTGGGTTGGCCATCATTTATTGATAGTGTGAAAGACACTGCCCCTGAACTAATCAAACACAACTTTTATGACAGGTCCCAGCAAAGTACTAACAGGGACATCCAATGGGTAGGTGTTTCAAATAAGAGAGAAAAGAAGGCGCCATCCAATTGTCCGAGCCCCTCACTCCCTCCCCCCCAAAAAAAGCCCACCTGATTTGTCCTCCGTGTCATCAAAGTCAACGTTGAAGGAATGGCCACTATTACTGATGATTTTGGCAGAGCTCGAGTCATACTTGATGCTAAGAGGTCGGAGGGAAGAGTCGAACTTCGCTTCCTTGGTTTTAATCTCAATCGGGGACTGCTGGTCCCCGTCAGCGATGGGGAAGAGCTGGTTCCAGTGAACAGGGCCTGGATAGAGGGCACAGGACCAAAGAGAAGGACTAAACAAGGGGTGTCATTCAGCGAGTCCTCCTTGAGGGCCACACACTGTGCTTGAGCCTGAAGAGAGAACGGGGATTAATAAAAGGCCTTCATCCACAGGACCCTCACATCCACTGTGTGCTGCTGTTTTTACAAGGCCAGTTGCTCTTAGGAGAGGTATGGAAACTTCCTGGCTTGCGTTCACTCATTTTCAGAATTAAACAAACCCTTGTAGACAAAAGAGCACGTATGTTTTATAAGGTACTTTCCAAAGGCACTTTTCTGCCAAGCGCAGAACAACAGCACAATTCATCACCGAGAACAAGGGATTCCGTCTCAGCTCCAGGAGTGAGCGCGGGAGCTGCAGGGCTCAGGAGTTCGAGCTGGAAGAATGACAGATGAGTGAGCCTGCGGTGGCCTGCGTGTGAGCAGGTAATCCACACACCCTCTCACGGGATAATGCAAGCGCAGTGGCCGCACCCTGCCGGGAAATGGGAGGTGGATCACCTGCAGCCCCGTCAGGGAGCAATTTGTTTCTCCTTTCTCCACCTCAGGAGGCCCCTCTGTTTTTTGGCCAATGCTACATTTGAATTCCAAAGGCGGCACAATGCTCACCCTGACCCTCTACTCAAAAAGCCAAAACGGCATCCAGCGCCCAAGTCAGACACATTCGGTAAATGATGTGAGCCCAGAAGCCGGCAGTGCCCTCCGGGGGGCCTCGGCCTTGCTCAGGAGATTCGAGTTCTGCTTCTCAAAACCAACAGCAGTGGCGGCTCCACGTAAGCAGCGCGTCCGCAGACAGGGACAGACGTGGTCACTCCCGTCTCCACTGCTCCTGCCACCGCCAAGCAGCCGCCACAGCCCGGAGAGCTTCCCTCCCTGGCTGCTCCAGAACTCAGGTGCTTACTACACAGACAGCGCAGCGTGACCACGATGCCACGTTGGTACTAGTAACACGAGCGTCTTTAAAGATCGGATTTGGAATATAACTTCAAGAAATGCAGAAATGCCACAGTGGGTAACAGCTCCCATCTCTAAATCTCATTCCCCCATGACTTCTCCTTTTGTCAAAAAAGAATGAATGTTTTCCCTCACGTAAGCTTCAGGGAGGAACGTCACCGCAGGAAAGCGCACCACACACAATACACACAACTCCGCAGCTGTTCCCCGGAGCCTGACGCTTTGGACTTGAAGGCCCTTGAGCACGCAAGTCCTTGCCTTCAGCTTTTACAGAAAAGCACCCGGTCCTCGTTGACTAGGCCTGCACTCACCTTGCTGTGCCCTCTCTCTCTCTCTCCCTCTCTCTCCCTCCCGCCCCCCCACACCCCCCCTGGCCCCGCCAGCCACCAGGCATGACTGCCTAAAGCACATTAGACTTCACATCTGCCGACTCTTTCATCAGGAGTGTCCTCCTACCACTCTCTCCGGTTTCCAGTCTTTATAACAGAACCATTTTGAAATACTCAGCGTTAAATATTAACTACTAGGGCAGGTTCACTCCCTGCCTCTTAAGAGGACCCCCCTTGTAAAAACAGTCCAAACCTCCAACGTTAACCCCATTTGAACATGGCGCTTCAGGAGAGGTGTGTGGTGTTTCTTCCACGGGCTCAGGAACTTTGGAACGTCATAGTGACGCGTAGTTTGCAGTGACGGCCACTTTCTAAACGAAGCCAATAGCACCGCGGAAGGTGCGTGGAGGAGCCCTACGCTGTTTGTGCAGGTGCCTCCTGCCAAGGGCTCCTACCAGCTGCTCACCCACAGTCCAACCAGAACCATCAGCCCTGCCAGCCGGATGCATCGTTCCCCCGTGGGACCTTGGCCCACAGGCGACCTACCTTCAAAGGTGTCCCCTCATCGCTGTTGCTTTCCAAAGCGGAACCCCCCGCCCCATTCTTAGAAAGCTACGGAATCAGTCCTTGCTAACAGCTCTCCTAAGAAGTCCTCCACCCACTGTCTGTTGGCCGACGTTACCCATTCACGTTACCCAACCTGGGGAGATTACAACCACACCGGGGAAGTATCGCGGCCTCAAAGAAGCTGTTT